CTTACCAAATTTAGTTCATAACTGCAGTAGTATTGACATAAACCGGACATAGCAAGGTTAGATAAAAAAAAGAATAAAACCAAGAATAAGAATAAAGAATAAAACTAATCCAGTATCGTAAAAAATCCTTAAATGATAAATTTCTTAAATCTTCTTTATCTTTCTTCTTTTATCTTCTTTAAATGATACATTCTGTCAGAAATTACTTAATAGTATATTACGTTACTAGTCCTGAAAATAGGTGTTTACCAGACGAGTGTGGTCGTGAGATTACCATACAAGTCCGGTAAACACATTTTGGACGAGTGACGTACGATATTTTACGCCATACTACTCAAGCTAACTTAATAATAACAAATCCTTATGTATTCCCACCGACTTAAGGACTAACAATAACTACTCATAACTAGCTGTTATTTTTTTGTAAATAAGCACTCATTGCCAAATATAATAGAATCAGCTGGTTGGTGTCCAGTAAAAACTCATTACAGTACAGTAGTACGTAATGAAACCCCCATTTGATTAAGCTGGCGGCAAACAGCTGTTTTCTGGACTAAATCCATACGTGGGAAATTCGTTAAAACAGTGTAGTGTGGCGTAATAGTATATTACGTTACTAGTCCTGAAAATAGGTGTTTGCCGGACGAGTGTGGTCGTTCCCGTGCGAGACGAAGTTGAGTACTGGATTACCATACGATTCCGGTAATCACATTTTGGACGAGTGACGTACGATATTTTACGCCATACTACTAAATCCGTACAAATCCTTATATATTTCCACCAACTAAAGGACTAAAAATCACTAGTCATAACCTCTAAGAGAGGTTATGTTTTTGTTTAAAACGATTCATTGCCTCCTAAATACAGTATAATCAGCTGATTGGTGTCCGGTAAAACCCATTACAGTACAGTAGTACGCAATGAAACCCCATTTGAATAAGCTGGCGGCAAACAGCTGTTTTCTGGATTAAATCCTTGCGTGGGAAGTTTGTCAAAATAATGTAGTGTGGCGTAAAACATTTTTTTATTTTTTTTTTATTTATTTATTTAATTACTTTACAATCTGTTCTATTATATATTGAACAATAAGTTTTTTAAAGTAATTTCCACTCCGACTGTTATGAGAAAAATTCCACAAAAAGATACAAAATTTTTGACTATCACAATTAACCAAAGTATAACCTTGTGCATTATGGTCTAGTGGTATCAAGAGTATTAGGCAAATTCATTGTTTTAACTGAAATTGTGACTATACTATCTGTTATAAGGCACTTCTAGGGTTAGAAGTGGACCATGTAAATTACAGTTTTATCATATTTTGTACAAGTAGACCAGATCTGTATCTTACTAGTCAAATATATAAATGACCAAAAATTGATTTTGTGATGGTAAATAGGACGTGTCATGTTTTAACAATTCCTTCAAAATCAAGTCTTTAGTATTGATCTTTAGTACTTTAGTATTGATGTATACCATTTTTGAATTGTTTTGCACTGACTTGTATTTGTTAAAGGATATTCCATTCTTATAATTGTATTACAATAACTATGCTTAGCTTCCAGTTGTTTTTTTATTTCAAAGGCTAAGGGCTAAAAACTTATAAAATTCATAATAAAGATGTATGAAACTAAACCGTTTTTGTTTATAAGTTTTTAAATACCATAAACCTTAAAAAGTAGGTTTATATTAGGCCTACACTCTTTTGTGGAGCCCAGCAGTTGTGGAGGAACGTAAAGGCCTTTTCACGCGGTCCTTGCACACCACCCTGAAACTTCAACCTATGCAATTATGTCTCCTCCACAAGTTCCTTGATGTGAGCCGTGGTTTCCGTTCCATGGATTGACGAATTCAGTGATAGCGACCTAGTGTGCTTGTTAACGAAAATGAACGATTCATCCCATTAATAAAATACCCCCGCTGCAGCAACCTGCTGACTAAGCGAATTTCCACTTGTCTGATTACATTTTTACTAAAATATCTCCATAAATAAGAAATATTTATTCCCAATTTAAATAGCATTAGATTTAACAAACGCTTAGGTTTGCTGCTACGGGAAAGGTAAAAAGTGTTTTTGACCATACGTCATTAGTATAGGATGAAATAAATAAATTTGCCAAATTTTATCAATATATACCCATACACAAGTAAACTACAAACTGTAATTTGTAACTACTGTTGTAATTTTCTCCATAAGAATAACATGGGAATTTTAAATTACACTATTTTTGAATTTTCTCCGTGACCGTTAGGCATACAACAGCACTTCAATATACTAAATTATTTATTTTTTAAGCTCTACAAAACGGTTTAGAAATAAATTGCAAAATTTTCTGTTTTTAGGGTTAAAAAAATGGGAAAACCCCATAAAATCCTCCATAACCCCCGTTCCCATGGTCCGATTATGCTGGATCGCAAACTTGTTCAAATAAACGTAGGTTTATTTGTACCAAATTTCATCGAAATCGGATCATTTTTGCTTGAGTTATCGCGCTAACGGACACATATATATATATGAATTTGAACAGATGGTGTTTTTGGCCTCTAGGGACCTCAAAATGAAAAATTAAATTGGTCCCGGGTTCAGGTCTTAACATGAGTACTACGGTAATAATTTAATTTTGGAGAATACAATCACTTGATGCATGATCTGGAGCTGGATGAAGATAGATTTAATAAAACATATTTTAGATTAACTCCAAATCAGTTTGAAGAAGTTATGTCAATGAATTGTGTTGATATCAGAAAAAACTACCCTAACTAGAGAGGCAATCACTAGCAAAGAGAGGCTATTTGGTAAGAAAGATTATGATAGTTTATTTAAAGTTTTCTCTAGTCTAATTAATTATTGACTGTAGACACAGAGAAGTAGTAAGACAGAGGACGCAAATAAGATTGGGCGTACAGTATGACATGATAATACAACACAGAATATTCCACGAATACTAGAAAAATACCGGTATGGATCATAAACATAAACAAATGACGTTTTTGGCCCAAAAGTAAACAAAACCCCTATACTTATAGCATTAATTAACATACGGTTTTGTTTACTTTTGGGCCAAAAATGTCATTTGTTTATGTTTATGATCCATACCGGTTCTTTTCTACTATTCATGGTATCTATCTATATATTAATAGGCAAGGATGTTTCTTTAAAACCTTTTTTCTCAGCTCCTGTGCATCGCAGGGAAAATCTACGCATACTGTTGGAAAGATATTTACCTGCAGATGTGCAGAATCCCTTTATAAATTAAAATAGGCTCAAAAATAAGCACAGAAAATGAATTTAAAATTTTGAAAAAATTGACATGGATCTTATGGGTTGCCATGTTGGTGACGAAATAACAACGAAATATAAACAGAAAATAAAAACAAATGGAAGAAACTCCAATCAAATGTTTTATTTTTATTTACAGTGTGGGATGAAAATCAAGAAGTCTGTACATTAAATATTTTTGCTCAAGTTTCAACCACTGGACGACCTCTTGTATTCATAATTACACAGACACACAGTACATAAATTGTTATTGTAAATACTGTATATTAGATTAAGTATATATAGATGACGAGGGAGTGGAGCACTTGGTTTTGAAGTGTTCACTGTGCATGCGCTAGGTCATGGACTTCTGAGAAAATCACTCTCTGAGCGAAGACCGTCGTGGACGTCCAAACGTACTGGACGAATTAATCCTGGATGGTCTTCATTGTTGAAATAAGTGAATGAAATGACAAAGCACGGTCAGCGCTGTGTATAAGAGGGGTAAGCGCGAGCAATGCTTCGTTCTGTAGTCCGTAGCATCACATATAACCTGGAAATTTAGCACTCTGTTTCCCGCTACAAATGTGCACCTGCACTCGTATATCATGGCCTTGAGATAAAGCCACCAAGCGTGTTCTATCACCATCCAACTCCATAAGTTTTCAACATATGTAGTACAGATTGTAGAGCACAAGTTAACTCGCACACAAACAAAACTTTCTTTAGATTGCCTATACGCCTATAGTATGACCTTTGACTATTGATACAACTTCTGTATCCAATAGTCATTGGTGTGACTTAAGAGGAAAGTCAATTGACGAGATTGATAAATCCAACCAAAAGTAATGCAAGAGAGACTAGGAGATTGTACACCTTAAAGAGGCGTCATACAGTGCAAGCAACATTATTACAGCTTCAAACCCCTTAAGAAATTAACTCTTAGACTGCATATAGGTCTAATGAAATAGCTCAGTTGGGGTATTTATAGCATTTATGGGCGATTGCTTAAAACAACAACTTAACAAGAAAGCCAATTATTTACTGTTTTTATACACCAACTAACAAATCAAATACAGTGGAGTCCCGATAATCCGAACTTCGGTAATCCAAAAAGTCCGCTTAATCTGGAACCAAAAATTTTTTTTATTTAACTTTTTACACAGTACCTGGTCAAAGTATTCTGTAACGGCCGGGCGAGATAGAATATTTTTAGTAAATATTTTGTCTTTTTTTTTAAATTAACATTTTTCATTTTTGTCTTAGGTTCCAATCCCGCCAAATCACAAATGGATTTTATTTAAGTGATAATGCTGCAGCCCCTAAGTCTAGCCTAAAGTAATATGTAAAAAACAATCCCGGGCTCGTGCCTAGCGTCCTAAGACAACAAAATTAAAAAAAATATTTTTAAAATTTTCAAAAAAAAATTTAATCCGAAATGGGTTTGGTCCCAACCATTTTGGACTAACGGGACTCTACTGTATGTCCTTTGGACTGAAACATGTTGCCACACATTGATCCGAATTGGTGGGTTGCCATGCGATTTAAGATGCCAACCCAACAACCATGCCACCTCAACATCTTATTTTTGGTGGCACCTTGAAGCATCCCCTTATTTAAAAAAAACCTTTATTACACCTTCTTACAAGTGTTTCTACTTCCCTTCTGAAAGTCTAATAGTTTTAATTCATAATTTACTATTTTCCTGTTAGAGTAAACAGGTATTTAACACACAGAAACAAAACAGTTTTAAAAGTATTTTATTCACAAAATATGATATACCTTATGCTCCATATTGCAAGTAATTTTAACTATAACAACAAAAAGAATAGACAAATAACAAAGCTGTTCTATGACTACTCTCTAAAATGATTAGGGTGATTGACAATCCTACAGAAAGATGACATCCAAAGGGGGATTTGTACTTCACACTCAAAACTCTTTAATGACAATACACATTGTTTGTTCCCAATTATACATTTAAAATTAACGATCAAAACAGTGAATACAAGTAAATACATTCAAAACCAATTTCACCCGAGTGTGATGCCTATTTAGATACAAAAAAGAGAAGCAAACAAAATAACTTTAAGCTTGTATAGAGGAGAAGCATTTTCTTTTTAAAATGTTAGATTTTTTCAAATAACTGTGTTTAAATTTTAACATCACCATTTATTTTATACTTAGCCCAATTTGTATGGGCCTGCTTTGGGTTAACAAGTAGTAAGTTTTCTAGGGAGGGGATTTTCTTATACACATATAACTGATTTATACATTTTTAACAAGAGTGGCTGATACACAACAGTAAAACAGTGTGGGAATATTACATGTTCACAATGGTTTTTTTTCTAACACTAATAAAGTTAAAATAAAAAAATAAAAATTACAGCTTTATTGTCCTTGTAAAGAAATAAAAACAGATGGGTAGAATGAAAACCTTCACCAAGATTTTTTAGTAGGTACAGTATATTACTCTTATAATCCTTAAAATAATTCATAAAAATATAATTTTAAGATATTGTTAATAGGGAATAAAACAAAAAATAACAAATATTCTCACAACCATTTGTAAAATCCATACGGTACTGAAATTAAGAGACTAGACTTTCATTTCCTCAAAGATAAAAATAAGTATAAAAGTTTAAACACAATCACAATAGTAATATCCTATCCTTTTATCCATAGCTGTTTTTGTTGTTGTTCACCTACATCTTGATTGACAAAACTCTTAATGTCGGTATTTTTAAGGACATTCACACAAAAAGTTCCCCATTTTTAAATGTTAAAAAGTTGTTATCTTGCCATTTATGGAACAGAGATTTATGAACAAAATTGAGTTAAGTTTGCGTGTTAGTTGGCTAATAAACTTTTTGCTCTTTTGTACAGAATGTCTACAAATATCATTTACTTCACAGCTGTAGGTTTTGTTCAACTGATAGTTGAAATAAAAGAAAATTAGCATTTCTAACCATATTTTATAGTGATAACCTTTGAAAGGCAACACACAAGGATTACAAATAGTATTTTACGCCACACTACATTATTTTGAAAAACTTCCCACGCAAGGATTTAGTCCAGAAAACAGCTGTTTGCCGCCAGCTTATTCAAATGAGGTTTTACCGGACACCAATCACCTGACTGTATTTAGGTGGCAGTGAGTGGCTATAAACAAAAACATAACCTCTCTAGAGAGGTTATGACTAGTGATTTTTAGTAATTTAATTGGTGGAAATATATAAGGATTTGTACGGATGTAGTAGTGTGCTGTAAACTATCGTACGTAACTCGTCCAAAATGTGTGTACCGGACTCGTATGGTAATCCCGTACTCGACTTCGTCTCGCACGGGAACGACCACACTCGTCCGGTAAACACTTATTTTCAGGACTAGTAACGTAATATACTATTGTGAAACCGTTTAGGCGTTTTATCGTGTACTAACTTATTACCATCCTTTTAATAACCTTCAATTTAAAAATCACCCTTTACTTAAAAGCTTTACATGTATTATAAGTAAAAGACCAAATGTTTAATAATTAATAACTTAATCAAATATACACTATGCTAATACAAAACCCTTAAACAATTACTTAAAAAAGTTTGTTTAAACAAATTATCTAATCTGTTACAACACCCAATACTCCTATTTCCATAATGGACTCTTCAGATAATTGTGATTATGTAACAAGGTCTTGCATTTAATGGAACCCAAGAACCATCAAGAATGTTGATCTGTCACTTAATTATGATGAAATTACTGTTGGGATCCATAGGTCTGAAGTTTTCTCCAAAAAAACTCAAATTAAAGAGAATTTTACTGTAGGTTGTATTTTTTAATTACCTTTTTTGCTAAGGGACATTTCCATACAGTTATTTCAGACACTTGCATACCTAAGTGTCATATAGTAAGATTGAATGTTTTTGGATTACTAAACGTACATTCCTACTATTTGATGTCAGTATGGGTCACAACATTGGCTGCAAATGTGGCATCATAATGCGCTGATAGTATCTGATACAACAACGTCAGTGTTGAGATTTGTAGAAAAATCTAAAGATAAAATACGCTGGGTATGAAAAACTAATTAAAATATTTTCAAATGCTTAAATTTACTAATTTTTTTACGCTTGTTTTAATCTCAGCTTTAAATACAATAATAACAGATTGCATTACAATTGCTAATACATTTTTTTACTACAACTTGATAGGAGACGGGTGGTTATAGTGCTTGCCTATAATTGTTACCAGACCCGCTATTATTCATTGGGTTTTCAAACTAATGATGCTGTCTAACAAGACAAGGGTTGGACCCATTCCTTACACCCAATGCCGTAGATAAACACAAACAATATACACTATGGACTTAAAACACAACATTTTTTTAGTTAATGAAATGGTTTATTTACAATAAGAATCAAATTTACATAATTTAATAACCAAGCACCTTTCAGTCTCACACAACCGTCCTTTATACATTCTTTACCATTTTTAATTTTAAGCAAATGATATTTTTTTAAGGCTAAGTTAGATTTTTAAAAGAAAACTTCACAAGTAACCCTTTTAAAAATTGTTTGCCCAACAACACATTGTGTTTTTTACATCTTGTAAAAAAGAAAAATTTAACCCCTCTGTAAACACATGTCATGTTAAGACAAATAAAATAAAAACGTTTACATTATCTATCATGGTAACTATTAGTGGAACCCCCAAGGATGCTCACTTTGTCAGTCAGGGTTTTTAATCCTTGGAATCGCTGTCCGTTAAAGCTCTATCTTACTTTGACCGACGTTTGTTTTTCGTATAAGAACCTAACTATGGTTAAAACATTTTTAAACATAAGGAAAACATTTTTATTTAAGGTAAACAAGTTTGAAATGGGTTACTTACACATATGATATTCATATTGACATTATTATTTTTTACATAAATCCTCTATGTGACTCTAATGCTGGCCAGTATGCAGCCAGTAAAAACATTCTAAGGATTAAAAAAATTGCCTTGTATGTTTAGAAGTGATCATTAAAATATATGATTTTAACATTGAAAATGATATTTATTTTTTACACGTTTATCTATTTGGTGTACTACATATTTACTTCAATTCTGACTATGATCATGTCATTCTAACCTATCCTCTTGCATGCTTACACTTAAGTAGCTGAATATATTTATATCCTATCCTATCCCTAACAAGTAAATTTCAATCGCCAGAAGAATAATATTAATTATGAAATGTTTATCATGAACCGCATACTGAAAGAAAAGTTTTATAAACAACTAATTCCTTTTAGGAACAATAAAATATTTACAATATAAATAAATTTTGCAGGATTAAGCTCACAAGTTATTATTTAGAAACATGCATTCTTGATTTAAACAACGAAATAGTGGAGACTGGGGGTTTGGGCAGAATAGATCATACCTGTGATATCCTGTCATGAAATGGGACCTGCCTTTTAAACTAATACACCACACAACTGAGTATTCTTGCTATGCAATAATGACAATATTATTTGTACTACAAATATGGTGAAAATCAATAAATAGAATAGAATCTAAGGGAAAGGGAAGGTTTGGTTTGTAAAGAATATGAGGTTTGCAGTCTACAAGGACAGGACGGACTCACTCAGATCAAGTGATTGGGGTTGAAAATTGGCAGTGAATCATAAGCAAACTCAGTAAATTACAAAGAAAAATTTCATTGGTGGGTTGCAGACTGCACAAACGACAATTCTTCACAGCCTAGAGGAGAATGATGTGATCTCGTTGTAGGTGTGTTTTAAGATGATTTTTCTACCAGAGGGATGCTAGAAGTCCTCGATTGGGGCACAAACTCAGCAGCGTTTGGATTCAAAGTGCTCTAAAACAGAAGCCAGCATCTTGCTTACTAATAGGCACTTCAATGGTTGAAAATACATCAGAACCACATGCCATACACACTGAATGTGTTTAAGTGTCTTGTATTTATCTAAGTCCATCACAGATATTTAGCAGCCTTGAAGCTACAGAGAATGTAACACTTAAGTGTAGACTAAGCAATAAGCATTCAAAACATTTTGGTTGCTTCAATAAAAGCCACTCCAGTAATTCTTGTTTGTCTAATAATCTCGTTATGTTATATATACTTCCCCACCTGGGGACAGGATCATATTTCAAATCTTGAAACAACTGTTTTTACTAGAATGGTGGTAAGAAATGTCCACAAAAATTCCTTAAATAACACTACAATTCATTCTTTTTATTGCATAATTCTTACAAAGCTATAAATATAACTTTAAAAAATTACAGTTGTATAGGTTTGAAAAAAGTAATAAACTCGCACAGAATGACATACTTAAAGTTATCCTTTGCTACCATTCAAAATCTGTAATACAGTTCGCAATGAGAAACCGAGAAACCTCGTGGATAAGATTATAAACATCAATCAATAACTAGTTGACTAGATAGACAGGGTTCCCACTATTTGTCTTCAATAAAATTCACGGTGTTTTCATGGTTATCACAGTCTACTTTTATAAATTTCACAGACTCCAAACAATGTTAGTTATAATGAAAAAAACATTATGTAGGCCTATAGTACAGTGCAATTAGCTTAAAAAAAGGACATAAAAAAAAATTTCAAACCAGCGCTAACTTGTTGAATACACTTTCTTCACTTTGTAAAAAAAAGTTACACTGATTTGAGTGTCGTGTTTGAGGGGGAGGGGGTGAAAGTGGGTGAAAATAGGTTTTTTTTACTTTTTCGCTAATACCTCAAAAACGTTTTTCTCAAAATATAATGAATTACAAAAATTATTTACATTGAATTTCGAACACCATGATACCATACAATACCTATCCACTATGAAGGGTTCAGGAGATATTGAGGGGTAAATGGGATTTTTTTCTGATGATTTCTCAAAAAAGAGGATTTTTTTAAATGGAGGAAACCCACGGATACCCATAAAAAAACAACAACAGGGTAAACCTCCCTTAACATGTGTAAAAATGTTAACACTGATTTGCATGCCGGTTTTGGGTAGGAGAGGGTGAAAACGGGATGGGGAATTTTATTCATAAGTAATTTTGTAAGTTTTGTTAAGTAACACTTTTTATTTTCCTTTTTTAACACAAATATAACGACAATTTAACTACATATGACTTATCTACCTGAAAAGACAAACCTACTTAGATACATGAACACAGTGAACTTTCTACCATTTGAATTCTTAAGTGTGTTTTTATCATTAATTAGATATTATGTAAATATCCGTGTTACAATAATAATTTGTGTAACTAGTGGGCGAAGTGGCATATTGGAGATATTGCTGGAGGTGGCTAGGTTGGAGCCAAACTCCAGGAAATTATTCTATCCTTTTTCCAAAATCACTTCGAAACACTTTTATGGGTGTCCATGGTTTTTCTACATTTAAAAACAACTTTTATAGAATTTAAAGAAAAAATCACATTTACCCCTCAATATCTCCAATATATCAACATCTCTTGTGTGCAGCAAAGTGCCACTTCGCCCACTAGTTACACAAATTATTATTGTAACACGGATATTTACAACTAATTAAATAATGATAAAACACACTTAAGAATTCAAACAATAGGTAGAAAGTTCACTGTGTTCATGTATCTAAGTAGGTTTGTCTTTTCAGGTAGATAAGTCATATTTAGTTAAATTGTCGTTATATTTGTGTTAAAAAAGGAAAATAAAAAGTGTTACTTAATAAAATTTACAAAATTACTTATAAATAAAATTCCCCACCCCGTTTTCACCCCCTCTCACCCAAAACCAGCATGCAAATCAATGTAACATTTTTAAACATGTTAAGGGAGGTGTACCCAACCATTTGGCCTCATTACAAACTTTTTTTATGGGTATCCGTGGGTTTCCTCCATTTAAAAAAACATCTTTTTTGAGAAATCATCAGAAAAAATCCAATTTACCTCTCAATTTCCCCTGAACCCTTCATAGTAGATAGGTATTGTATGGTATCATCTTGTTCAAAATTTTATTTAAATTATTTTTGTAGTTCATAATTTATCAATAAAAACGTCTTCGGGGTATTTGTAAAATAGTAAAAAAATTCCCATTCCCCTCCTTTTTCTTTAAGGGTTTAAAGAAAAGGGAGGGGAATGGGAATTTTTGTTATAGAAGGAGGGTTCCTTCTCAAATCCGACACTCAAATCAGTGTAACTTTTTTACACATATTATGGGAGGTCTATTGAACAATTTGGCACTTACTAGAAACTTGTATGTGTCCATAGGTTTCATCCATTTAAAAAACTACTTTATTTAGAATTTTAAGAAAAAATCATGTTAACCCCCCAATATCTCCTGAACCGTTCATAGAAGATAGGTATTGTATGGTATTATTTTGTTCGAAATTTAATGTGGATTATTTTTGTAATTCATTATATTTTGAGAAAAACACAGTTTTTGAGTTATTTGCGAAAAAGTAAAAAAATTCCTATTCCACCCCCTCCCCACCAAACCCGACACTCAAATCAGTGTAACTTTTTTTTACAAGTGAGGGAAGTGTATTCAACGGGAGACGGACAACGGACCAGATCTTTGTTTGGGTTGATCCCCTGATTTATGGCCTGAGGGTAGTGGTCACTGGAGGAGGGGTGGGGAATCGAGAATTCTGAATCCCACCGGAGGCGTTAACTTTTTGTCAAAGATTTCGCTTAGAATGCGATTACTTCTTAACTGTACATCTTTTGTTAGAATTTATAATTTTATGATCATAACTGTTTTCGATCAGGAAACCTTTACTCGATTTTTTTCATTATCAGCAAGTTTGGTTGGTTTGGTTAGGTTATGATAGCTTAATTTTATAATTTAAAAATTAAAAATTGAATTTTAGGCATTTGTAATTTTATTTTATGAACAGATCAATTTTTTTTATTAGTAAACCTTCATTAGATTTCTTATTATCAGCAAGTTTGGTTAGTTCGGTTAGGTTATGATAGTTAAATTTAATTTAATTAAAATTTAACCTACAAACGATACGTTTTGACAGCGACGGTGATAGAGCTAACAATTTGCCGCGAACAGTTCGGCTATGCACCGTATGATGCGGAAGCGTTCGACACCAACCTAGAACTGACAGGTCAACCGGCCGTGATTAAGAGGATTACAGCCTCGGTCAAGTGCCTACACCCGTATTCAACAATTTAGCGCTGGTTTAAAACTTGTTTTTTGATGTCCCGGTTTAAGTCTATAATTGCACCATACTACTAATGCCTTTTCTAACCAGTACACAAGTAAGGTTTCTTGTCCGATTAATACGAAACAATTATTAAATTTAACATTGCTTGGATCTATACATGCAGGAAAGCACACGACCGTAAAATCCTTAAGGCCCATTCCATGAATAGAATGTAATAATCGGCCAGTCGGCGCAGCGCAGAGCAAAGAAAGATACAAGAGATAGAGGTAGATAAATAAAGACAGAGACATTGAGTGTTGAGAGGGAGGGTAGGGCAGAATGAGAAGACAACAAATTTGGGGTTGAGAGGACAGAAAGGGAGGGGGGGAGTGCGAGGGGGAGAAGAGAGAGAGAGAGAGACGTCATTCCACTCAGTGCTGGAAAACAACCATAAGGAAGAATATTTAGAACAACAAGTTAACACAAACTTTTTCATCAAGCCTACATTAATGGACGACTTAATAAAGCCTACATTAATGGACGACTTAATATAAGTATTAGTTACAACAGATAGCTACTCAATATGAAAAGAATAATTACAAAAAGTAAGTATTGTAAGTGCGTATTCTCAAATCATCGAATCCCGAGTCCAAAAAATAATTACAAATGGGCTTTTTTATATGATTATTAAAAAAGCAAGAATGAAATAGGAAGCATTTAAAAATAAATATTACACTAACCATAAATGACTACTCTTTGCAATGAAAAGATGTGTAATTACTTTTGACACACGACAAAAATAACAGACGACTAATCGGTTACATCTTTTAAGCTAAATAGAACGGTCGGTATAGTTTATTTGGATGGCAAATATTAATTATTGGTTATTTATGGTTGTTGTAGGTACACTTGTTAATTTTAAAATCGTTGATCAATAGTATGGTCAATGATAGTATAATCTGTTAATAAACTTTTAATCTATATATTAATTTGAAACTGTTTTTCTTTGTCACAGCTATTTTGAGAGAACGGCTGGGCGTAGAAACTCGGTAGAGGTGTATAAAGAAAGGTCTTGGTCTGTAGATGAGCCATCAAAAGAGAAACATGGCGAATTCCCTTGGGGCTCTGCCCCAGTGGCCTTTGAATTCCCATCCCATGTTATTCTTATGGAGGAAAACGGGGTTTTTGTCACAGCTAATTTGAGAGAACGGCTGGGCGTATAAAATTGGTAGGAGTCTCTAAAGAAAGGTCTTGGTCTGTAGATGAGCCATCAAAAGAGGAACGAGGTCAATTCCCTTGGGGCTCTGCCCCAGAAGCCTTTAAAGTTGCCTCCAGATTCGTTTACATTACGACCATATGCATAATTCTACACTACTTTTTAATGAAACAGCTGTTAATATTTAAATTGTGATTTAATGAATTATTTGTCAAAATGAAGTACAGTATTTGCAATGGGTTTTTCTGATTTTAAAATGGATTTTCTTCTGCATCGTGTTATGTTTTGCAATATAATGTTCTATTACCAAATCAGTGGAAAATCCTATTATCACAGTTACTCTTTTCTTTTGGAGTAACCTTATATCTATTGTATGGGTTGGTTTCTGCCTTTTTACCCACTTCTTGGAGATTGTGCTTAGGTGATATTCGTTGGCATATTGCATCTGTAGACGAAACTTGGGTTGGTGTAATTATTACAATAGAAAAGAGCGAGAAATCCTGGACAATTTGATATAGGCTAAAAATAAAACTGAATTAAAACTGTTCTACATTTCTTGAGCAATCATTGAAATAACCGATTTGCAAACAATGGAAACATAGAAAAAGTCATAGAACACAACCAAGTAGAAGAAATAGAAATAATGTTTTTTTTTCATTTATAATCGTTATCATAGACAACCTAACGCGACTATGAGAGGGAAAAATTTGTAGAAAATACTAAAAAAACAAGATCAGCTTTTTGAAAAAAGATAAGATATTTACAAAATATTTTGATTATATCTAACTGTTGTGTAGATTGTGAGTATTTCCATAATCTTTGAGTCGCCTGTAATGCAATTGCTCGAATTCGAGCAACAAGTACACTAGTATCATATTAAATACTAAACATCAATTCAATCCACAGTCGAGCGTCGATTGGAAGTCGTATTGTGTAAATCGTACGTTGTCTGTGTAGTGTCTACACTACAGTACAGTTCCGCCATTGCTTGCTACACGAAAAACGAACGCAGACAAATACTTATTGCGGTCAAGTCAATACCGGCAGTGGTGGCAATAGTTGCTCGCACTGAACTAGAGCTAAAACAGAAGGTAGCACTGAATGTGAGAATGCAGAGAATTGTCGCATTTGTACTAGAGGAATAGTACTTTGGAACTAGGAGATTGTGGGGTTGCAATTAAGCCAACAGACAATGAGCTGGTTGATTCTTTTAGTGGTACCAACATAACAACATTTTACAGTCTCGATTTTCTAGCAGAGTTCCCGTGCCAGTGCTACCTCAATTTGGATGTTTTCAGTGTACGACTATTAAAATAAGAGCGGTACCCTGATTCCGTTTACTTTTCAGACTTGGATATGATACTCAGGCTATCCAGAAAGTAAAGAACGTTTCGTTATGACGCCGCTAGGCGCGCGCCGATCTCGTACATTTTGGTGCGTGTGTACTCGGCAACTCAGTCGGCATCCAGCCGTGACAATTTGAGCATTCTCGCGCTGCCCGTTTTTTCACAATTTCAACTTAAGATGAGTGCTGCGATTAAAAATACCGCCAGTTAAGAGGTACAGTCAGTGATACGGTTTGTGTTGGCAGTGAACTTAAAATCGATAGACATTTATCGCCAAGTGTATGAAGTTAAAGGAAAAAAGCTAAATGATTGAAAGTTCTGAGAAAATGGTGCATTCAGATTAAAAATGGCCGATCTGACGCTCATGAAAAATGTCGAAGTGAAGGGCGGACGCCCGAGCATTGTGACTGATGGAACTGATCGCGAAAGTTGATGAAAAGGTTCGCAAAAACCGCAGATTCCCGATAAAGGGCCTTTCGCTTTCTTGTGTCACAATTTCAAACCACAAAGTCCGTGAAACTTGAGGAGAAGTTTCGGTTTTAAGTGTTTTCAAACAAAAACCGCATCACTGACCACACCCCTTAACTGGCGGGATTTTTTTTCGCAGCGCTCATTTTAAGTTGAAATTGTGAAAAAACGGGCAGTGTGAGAATGCTCCAATTGTCACGGCTGAATGCCGGCTGAGTTGCCGAGTACGCACGCACCAAAATGTACGAGATCGGCGTGCCCCTAGCGGCGTCATAACGAAACGTCCTTTACTTTCTGGATAGCCCTCGTATTTATTTAATTGAGAGCGCAGGATAATTTTGGGCCGGCATGAACCGGCGCGTCATGCTGAGATACATCACGCTCCAACATCGACACGTATGCGTGCCCATTCATCACTCATCTTTTGCCGGCTACACCACGCACACTACCCTATCAGTATTATAATTGGCCAATTTTATTTAATGTTTAATGTTTTCGTGTTCGTGTGTTTAACAACTCTTCCCAGTTATGAAGAGGATTTGGTTGGAAGTTTGGAGTATGTTTTAACAGGTGACAGCTTGAAAATGAACCTTTCGGTTCGAAAGCTGGGTCCCTGACCTAAACCCGGATCACAGACAGTACTACAGGTATTTAACCTTTTATTTGTAAATACGTGATCCAGAGGCTAAACATGTTAAAATTTATTTTCAAATTTTCAATTGTTTTCACAACTTGTTTCTACCGTAAATTTTTATTGCAAGTAGCACATATGCTGTGCATCTAAAGGGTGCCATATTGAGCATCTGTAAATGGTACCTATGTCCATATGGTTCTTAGTTTTCAAATTATAAACCTATGAAATCGGATGATTCTTATTGAAACACCCTGTACATTAGCCACTAACAAAATGGTGTGCAAAAATCTATACCGGTATATATTTAATTCCGGAAGCGAATCAGACCCCACAAAATATCTCGAGCTAGGAAAAAGGTATGGCTGTTGAGGATTCATTTTAAAGGTTAAGGTCCAAAGGATGGTAAAAATATCAAAAGTGTTAAAATTGCCCTTTTTCTGCCCCACAGGCTGTCAAAGATCCAATCATTTTATAATGGAAGTACTGCTACAGTGTTTCAATAAGCTGTTTTAAATATACCAGCTGATGTAAACATTGTATATTTTGTTTGTTTTTATTTATTTTAGTGTTCTGCTTTTAGGTTAGAATGGTAATGCAGTGTTGAAACATATCATGTTAGGGGAAGACCGTGACTGTGAAGGAGAGTATTTAGGAATAGTGCATGGCATTGGTAATGGTTAAAGACAGGGCGGAAAAATAATATTGTTTGGGGGAGATTTTAAGCAGATACTGCCTGTTGATCCAAGGAAAAAAGGTTCAAATACTATAACATAGCATGCACAGTTAATTAACAGGAACATACAAATATATAAGGGACACTTGATTCTCGATAAAATATTAATGTGTTTGAGACTTCTAATGGGGTTTTTATTGCATAATTACCCTAGTAATAAATTATGAAAATGTAAACAAACATCTCATAAACCTTTTATGTGCTCCTAACCAACTAGCGATCGATAAAATTATTTCCCATTAAACATTTAAGGACATAACTGGCATTTTTAAAAGGACAAAATTCCTGTACATTTTGTGGCCAGCCAAAAATTAGAAACAATTACAGGTTTTTCCGGTTGGTAGACACCCTGTTTAGTTTGTTTAAATATTACACTAATTTGTTTTATATTTGATATTTTTACAGACTTTTGTCCCTACAAGCCACTAGTTTAATATTCAATGTATAAAGAATGATTTATTTTTGTTACAAGTTATAAGTCGATTGTAGCCTGGAATTTAAAATCCTCATGGGTAGCAGGTAAACTATTAATGAGTCTAGGCTGAATGATTATTAAAATTGTTGCAAACATACAGGGTGAGTTTCTACTTAGCGTGTTAACTTCGCCAGTAGGTTCTACTCACTAAAAGGAACAAAAAAGTTCCTATAAACCCATGTCCGATTTTCAACCGTTTGGCTGTAATAGGGGATTTTGTGTTTTTCTTATTTTATTAGACTTTGCTCCACAATTTATGTAATAAAAACTTAACCAATTACTTTAGAGAGTAAAAGTAAAAATCATTGGAAAGAATATTAAATTTTCTATAAATCAAAGGTTTCATTCAACAATTATACCATTACATAGTCCACGTTATATCCAAAATAAAGTAAAAATTGCATTAAATTAATTAGTTACAATAATTTTTAGGAGCCCATTTTGATATATAAACCTGCATCATTGTTGAAATGCATAAAAATCTTGGCCATTTAATAATCTTTCAAATGATATGCTATTTAATACTATTATTGATATAAACCAGTGAGAAATTACTAATAAACTACAATAAAACACGGTTTACAGATTTTGTGTTTGCACAGTTTTACTGTTGATAATAATTACTGTATACTCCATGTTGTATTTTATTGAACAATCTGATCAGATTTGTACATTGTTTTAACTTTTAAATATTTATTAAAATTATCTGAATTAATAAAATGTATAAACTCAAGGTTTTTCACATTTTCAAAGATGTAGTGTGTTAGATTCACTGTATAATTAGTTTTACCTTGTGCTTGATTAAGTCAGCTTTTATTGATTTGTCATCTATAGCTAGATAGCTCAGCTGCTTAAACATGCCTTGTTGAGTAATTTGCTGTTTTAACTTTATATTTCCAAGTCAATTAAGAGTTTTTCAACATTTATTAAACTATGAAGCCTTTTACCGATCAAGAGTATGCCAACATGATGAATACAGTAATTATTATTAACAGTAAAAACTGTGTCAAAACAAAATCTGTAGACCGTGTTTTATTGTAGTTTATTAGTAATTTCTCACTGGTTTATATCAATAATAGTATTAATAGCATATCATTTGAAAGATTATTAAATAGCCAAGTTTTTTATGCATTTCAACATTGCATAGATGAAGGTTTATGTATCAAAGTGGGCTCATGAAAATTATTGTAATTAATTAATTTAATGACATTTTTACTTTATTTTGGATATAACGTGGACTATGTAATGGAATAATTGTTGAATGAAACCTTTGATTTATAGAAAATTTAATATTCTTTCCAATGATTTTAACTATAAATCTCTAAAGTAATTGGTTAAATTTTTATTACATAAATTGTGGAGCAAAGTGTAATAAAATAAGAAAAACACAAATCCCCTATTACAGCCAAACGGTTGAAAATCGGACATGGGTTTATAGGAACTTTTTTGTTCCTTTTAGTGAGTAGAACCTACTGGCGAAGTTAACACGGTCAGTAGAAACTCACCCTGTATATGTTAAGTAAAAGGAGACTGTTTTCATGGAAATTTAGTTAGTAGTTTAGTTTTTGAAGTCTTCGTTTGTTAAACATATTTAAAAATGAAAACAAATTAAAACAGGATGCAAACAAACTTTAATGTTGTGGAAACTATGAATCCATACAAATTACATATCATGGCCATTTACCTGCTTGGCTAACTCATCTTTATCCTGAACTCTCAAGTTTGACATCTGACGGCAGAGTTCAGATCCATTCCTAAAATAAACAAAGAAAACATTTCATCAGTCCCTAAATTTAACTTTAATAACAGCACGCTGTGGGTCTACTTAAAAACAGAAAGTCAGAATCAGAATCAGAATACTTTATTCTTCAACATAAGAGTACAGAATAGGCACCAAACATTACAGAGATTTAATTATAAAATCTATTTATAAAGTGTAAAATAAAGTATACCTATGTAATTAATCTTATTTTTACACTTGGCCATAACACCAAGAGATAGTGAATTTGGTTTTACTGTGGGATTCTAGTGCCAAGAGGCTTTAAAATAAAGCTGTTCCTATTAAGGCCGGGTCCACACTATCCGTTTGCAACGGTCCCATTTAACAGGAGCATTTTTGAAGGAAGACGCCAACACATTGTATTGAATTGGTGCATACACATTGTCCAGTCAAAACGCAACGCACTGTCAACGGGATGGTGCTGCAGCGTGGCAGGACGTGCGATACAACCGGACAAAGACAAAAAACACATTCAGTCTTGTGGGTGCGTGCACACTATCCTGTTGCGTTGTGCGGTTGTATTAGAATCTACTAGAAATGTTTCATTGTTTCGTGTGTTCATTTTTGTTATATGGGGCCTCGTGATCTGAAGAAGCTCTTGAATGACTGGACTGACATACAATAGCATCCAAAAAAAACTTTGCCTCGTGTTTCCTGTAAAACGTAAGGAAACTTTCACCTGCATCACGTTCACGACAAAAAGGATGAATCCAATGACTTCTGTCATTTGTTCTTAGTAAACCACTTGCTTCCATTACACACACAAGTTTTATCTTAGACAGCATGACTGTTATCTTCTAAAACCATATTTACAGCATAACAAAAATTAAGAAAATGTAACTGAACAGCCATGTCTACTCTCTGACTTCACGACCGAGAATGGCGCGTGGGATTACCAACGGGATGACTGGTGAAGGATGAAAGTGGACGCGCAACAGTGTTCCTGTTAAAACGCATCCGTTTTTGACGGATGCGGTGAAACGGATAGTGTAGACCCAGCCTAAGACCACGCCTTCCTATATAGTGTGAACTATTTTTATATATAAAAGAGGTTGGCAGTATCTTTTATCCTTGCATTTGTTTGTCCACATAGGCTAGAGACCTGCATGCGGAACGTATTCAGCATAGCAAGGGGAAAGGAGATACAGTACAAGGATAAACTGTACTGATAAGTAGTGATAGGCACCAGGATCCGAACCCACAACATCGCTTCCTTGGGCTGGAAGTCCGTGGCGCTACCGACTGAGCCAATCCTCGACTCACCATTAAAAACTGAAAACTATTTTACCTTATCATTTTAAATAACATTACTCGATCTTCATCCTCTACGGATGAACCGTACGCATACTTACTGTCACCGATACTTCAAATCATGGTGTATAAAGGTCACCATACCGTTCATTGTATGTACAGTTATCAAATAATGACATAATGCTTAAGTATGTAAAAATCATAATTGCAGCAAAAACATGAATTTTTCTATCGTAATATCATTGCAGATGAGATTTGCTATGGCAAGCTCAGCCTTTTTCTGTAAAATTCACCAAATTTCAGTAAAAATCCAATTATTCAATATTTTTACCATTCGAATGGGGTACGGTCCCAATTAATACGGATAGATGGGAGTTTTACTGTAAATGTATTCTTCTGTGTTTAGCACCTTTTATAAATCAGTAAGCAATAGGAAAATAATAATAGCACAATATAAACTAAATAACTTTAATTTATGAATGGTAAAATATTTATATAATATATAACTGTCAAGAATTTTGGTATAACTCCTAAAAACCAGTAAACTCTGGCCTCGTGTGTTTCTACTTACTGAGCTTGTTGATCCCCGCTCCATGAGGGTGAATGGGTGTCATCAGAGCTTAGAGAGGATAAGAATCTCATGGTGTCCAAATGATGTTCGTGATCCATCATAACCTCCAAACAATGTTCCATCAGAGCCTCTTCTTCCAACTGCTGTAGAATCTGCAAAAAACAAAACTTTTAAATAAACCTTTTTTCCCTAGTTTATTATACTAGTCCTACCTAATTAATAAATAGTTAATAGTCTGTTGTGGGTTAATAATGCAATATTTTTATTCTAATTTTAAGTATTTACAACATTTGATCATCTCATTGGTGGGATTTTGTGCAAAACCACAAATCAAAATTTCTCCAAAATGGAATTTTCATACCATTTCTTTGTCCAAAGTAATAGTCCGTCCGTTTTGGCCGGAGACAAACACTGACAAACCCACTGTCACAGTCCCACAAATCTGTAACTTTTTTTGTTTTAAGTTAAAAAAAAATTTTCTTTATAAATTTGAGCTCTACACAAAATCCCAAAAATAATGAGCCCAAACACGATGTGGATACTTAATATCTATGATCTGATAGTAGTACAATTACTCTGTATCGTCACCAGCTTTGTCCGACTTTCAGATCGTAGATATCAAGTATCCACATCGTGTTTGGACTCATTATTTTTTTAATTTCATAGAACTCAAATATACAAAGAACAATCTATTTTAACTTAAAATAAAAGAAGTTAGCCTACTGATCTGTAGGACTGAGACAGTAGGTAGGTAAACATTTTATCAACAGCCAGCCTGGCGAGCTGGTCTGAAGGGTGAGTCGAGTTCCGAGAAGGTTCCTTATCCGCTGGGTATCATAGCCATACGGACTATAGTGTGACAAATTATTTTACGCAATGTGTATGCACTACTGTAATACATGCAGTAAAAAAATAAATATGTACGCCCGAGGGGGGCGGTCACTCCCTTCACTCCCCCCCCCCCTCTGGATCCGCCACTGGCACTCAGGAGGCTACAACTGTGAACTGATGACACTAAATAATACATACATAGCAGATGCTAGACAAAAAGTATTTGTATAAAATTGCTACATATAGCAATGATAGATGTAGCACGTATTTCTTTTGATCTTTAAACGACTCCTGATGGGTAGGCACAATTTTTGCCAGGGTGTCCAAAGAAAATTTGTCATTAATTTCCATGAATTTTCATGACTATCCATGACCATTTACCGTTGATTTCCATGACTCGCAAACTAAGACAACTCAAAGCATTGTAATAATATTTGTACTGTATTACAATTTGAGTTGTAATAATAAAGTTGTAACATTTTAATATACACTACCGTTGCAACAATATCCTACAATAATTTGAAATTAAATGATTTAAGTAGGGACGGATTGTATTGAACTAATACAATTGTAATAAATTAAATTGTCGTACATTTGTGAAAAATCCTGAAACATGCTAAATAGTAGGGGTTACGGCCAACTAGAGCATTGAAAAGTCCCATCATGTCCATCCAAAATTGGGAATTTCCATGATTTTTTGACTTTTGAAAAGTAACTTTTTCTACTTCTAGCAAATGTTATATAACATTGCTAGATGTTACACAAATTTGCTATATAGCAGGTTTTGCTACACAGTTTAAACCCGGCTTTAGAACACTTGTCTCTATTGGAGATATAAGCAATTCTAATAACATCATAGAATTAACTTTGTAGCCTACTTCTGGTATGTGTTTTCCCAACAAATTCTATTTCTTGTTGAAAGAGGAATCTAAGAAAATTAGGTAAAACAATTAATGCCCTATTTAATAATTTTGTTTGTCCTCATGTACTTATATTTAATAACAATTTGTTATTTGTTCATTTTCACAAGTGTTCTAAAGCCGGGTTTAAACTGTGTAGCAAAACCTACTATATAGCAAATTTGTGTAACATCTAGCAATGTTATATAACATTTGCTAGAAGTAGAAACAGTTACTTTTCAAAAGTCAAAAAGTCATGGAAATTCCCAATTTTGGATGGACATGGTGTTATTTGCAATTTGTCGCGGACCAGTTTTCCTCCCTTCTCATAGCATTTTAGGATTGCAGATACATTAATCTAATCGTCACAAACAGTTCCCACAGTCCCGACTGTTCGCCTTGACTACTTCCTTCGCCACTTCCTACATTGCGGACCTGTTTTCCTCCCTTCCCATAGCATTTTAGGGTTGTAGATACTTTAATCTAATCGTCATAAACAGTTTCCACACTCCGGACACCTCGCCTTGACTACTTCTTTCACCACTTCCTACATCACGTACCTTAAACTACTGCCGGTGCAAAAATTATGGAGACTCGAGTTTACAATATCACACCTCCGGAAGGAACGGCTTGTTCGATTTTGACAAGAGACCTATCAAATTAAAGGAAATATTGTCAAATTTTATATTCCAGTGATTTTTGACATTTAACATCACTTTATCTAATTTATAGAGCGAAAAAGTGGAAAAAATCGGGGTTTTTTCGCCATTGTCGATGAAATCTCAACTTCAGACAATTATTACCAAAAAACTATTTACCATATGAGCTTCAAATTTTAATGGTAGGTATATATAAGGGTTATTTATAAACATTTTCGTCAAGTTTCATAATTTTAACATAATTATTATTCATGTTCTTGTAAATTTTGTAAACCCTTGTTAACTTTGTCAACTTAGGTAGAAAATTCCCGTTCAAAGCACCGTTGTAACTATTAATTGTTCGTATGAACAAAAAATATAGTTTGTAAATGATAAAAATTAATAGTGATCTATAATGGGTTTACATTTGTTAACCGTTTTTAGTCCCGCGCGCGGGGATTGATTTGTCTAAACTTCTCTGCGGAAGGCTCGCTTACTCCCTGGCGAGGAATGCGGTGTTGCCAGATTGGTCATGACTCATGCCACCCTTCTTGTAAATATGAGTAAGCATACGACACCACAACAAACTATTGTTATTTAGTTATTTAGTCATTCCAGTTTCAAACTGCGAGTTGTACACGTCCTTGAAAATGCCTCCACGTCGAAAGTTTTCTGAGTGCGAAATTCAAATGATCGTTAGTGCGATATTGTTTTTTTCTCTCAGAAAAGGAACAGAGTTTGGACAAGCGTTACCCGGTGTATGCTAATGTGGCAAATTGCTTAGGAATTGGTTTAAGTACTGCTAAACAATACGCTTTGGAATATGAAGAAAATGTGTAAGAAAATACTCCACCATCAAAGAAGAAACGTGTTTCAGCAGGCGAGGCAGGATGCCCGAAAATTGAAATCGACCAGTTTACGCTGGGTCTCATCTGCAGGTACTTAATTATTTATAAGTACTGTTTCTATGATAAGTTATGAAGCTGCTTGGTCTAAACAATAACACAATTTACCCAAATAAGCTATGCGTGTGTATTAATTTTTTTTTTTTTCTTGCGGGACTTCTTCAATGATAGCCTTTACCACATTATTTTTTACTAAATTGTATGCTAAATGCAAGTAGGCAGGTTATTAGGAGCATTATTACCTGGAAAAATAGATTTCATTATAACTTATATAACACTCCGCTTGGGTTCTGTAAGTTTTTCAACATTGCCTACAAATAGAAAATGTTTGCAATAATTTATAGGGCAACAAAATGGCAACACCGCATTCCTCGCCACGGAGAAAGCGAGCCTTCCGCAGCGAAAATCCCACAAATCAATCCCCACGCGCGGGACTAAAAACGGTTAACAAATGTAAACCCATTATTGATCACTATTAATTTTTATCATTTACAAACTATATTTTTTGTTCATACGAACAATTAATAGTTACAACGGTGCTTTGAACGGGAATTTTCGACCTAAGTTGACAAAGTTAACAAGGGTTTACAAAATTTACAAGAACATGAATAATAATTATGTTAAAATTATGAAACTTGACAAAAATGTTTATAAATAACCCTTATATATACCATTAAAATTTGAAGCTCATATGGTAAATAGTTTTTTGGTAATAATTGTCTGAAGTTGAGATTTCATCGACAATGGCGAAAAAACCCCGATTTTTTCCACTTTTTCGCTATATAAATTAGATAAAGTGATGTTAAATGTCAAAAATCGCTGGAATATAAAATTTGACAATAGGGTATTTCCTTTAATTTGATAGGTCTCTCGTCAAAATCGAACAAGCCGTTCCGGAGGTGTGATATCGTAAACTCGAGTCTACATAATTTTTGCACCGACAGTAGTGTCGTCATTTGATTATATTTATGATCCATACCGTTTCTGTCCTAATATCTGTGGAATAATGCTATCAGCTATTTCTTTATCTACTGCATTCCAAAGTCAACAGCTGATGTCTTTGTTTATGTGTCAAATACTGCTTCCATAAGGATTACATTGAAACTTTGAGACCCAGTGGGGCGGATTCCTGAGAGACTTTTTCAACGCCATATAGATGTTGGCACTCACCGATATGGTCTTTATCACCAAGCAAAATTTCAAAATGATTGATTCAGCCGTCTAGGAGGAGTTTGCGTATCACGAAATACATAAGAGTCAACGTATAAGAGCTTCGCTCGCTCCACTCAATAATAGCCTATGCTATCCAGTTAAACAAATAAATAAATGAAATACATGTGGGAATGGGTTGTCATATAGCTTACCACTATTATACACTAATAAACAAGGTTTTGCGAGTCCTTTTACATAGCCTTCAATATATTGTAGCTAGAAGTTACTATGTTTTGAAATATTATCGAAGGCTAATAAAAACGTTCGTTCTTTGTTATAACATTCGGTGGCCAAAAATTAGCATAGGCCTACTACATTGGCTTTTGTGATTAACAATCATCATTCATTGCCTTTTGGAAAAAAAATTTGATTCATGAAATAAGTTTTGGTTCTCTCGGGGGTCGCTAAAAGCCGGCGCACACAGTTTCATAAGAATGGACTCCTGCAGGTGGAGAGATTTTTTGCAATGCAAACAGCCGCAGGAGTCTGCAAGCAGGCAGACTATCTTATCTTCCTCCACCTCATGCTTTCACTAATTTTGTGCTGTGAAATGGTGTGTGACAACGTAGTGTGGTGCAGCCTAGATTAAAAAAAAAAAAAACGCATTCCGTGGGTAGGGAAGGATGACAATTCCAGTATCGGTAATGAAGATTTTGGTTTGGTGCTGTTATAGCCTATACTCAGTAACTAATAGGAAACATTGGACGCATCACATTAATAAAAAAGTAAAATTGAATAGTAAATATCATCACCTCATGCAACATTTAGAAGAGGATGAAAAAAAGTTAAAAAGTATATTTTTTATTATGCAAAGAAGAGTTTTATTACTGAGTATTTAGTTATGTTGAAGAACACATAGCAACAAAGAGATTTAACTAGAAGGAAACAATACTCCTTAAGAGCGTCTTACTGTAAGCAAGGAAGTGTACGTTTAAAGATACCTCCTACCAGTAGGTACCTGGTACCTGACAGGTACCAGGATCCAAACCCACGACATTGCTGTCTTGGGCCCAAAGTCTATGGCGCTACCGACTGTTTCACTGACTCACCAGTCTTTTGGAACAGGCATAAAAGGTTTGAACTAGACTAGGCTGATATTAAAATAACAAATAGCCTAGCTTACAGGTTACACAAACCTGTTTATCAAATTCCTCTTCATTTTCCATCCACAGATATTCAGAAAAATCATCAGACGCTGTTGGGGTTTCTCCACCACTGTACAGGGGATTGGATTCGCCTTCTTCCTGTTGTCCGGCTTCTGAGTTGTCTGACGACAAGTATCCTGCTGAGGATTCTTGGCTGCTAAAGAGGTTTGCTGATTGTTCCACAACGGGAATCTTCATTCTCATACCAGGTTGAAACAATTAGGTTTGAAAATCCTAGAACAAGGAAAAATGTTATTAAAAGATAGCCATAAAATTGTGGCCTATCCTATCAGGAATTAACAAACCAGGTTCAGCTCATTTCCCCTCATTATAGGTACAACACATGTGGCCTACTATACAATGGTGACCATAGAAGGCCCTCAGGTGAAAGAATTCTTAGGACAAATTTTAGTTAAAAAGATGAATTCATAACCTTTATGGATTTGTAAAGCTTCCACTACATAATAATCCCGGCCGAAGCACTCGTCCAAGTGACTTGCGTTTAGTCGAGCAGCACATCAGATGATTGAGGGTATTTAGATTATGGAACATTTCCATGGGGTTCTAAAAAACTTATTATGATCTCATTGTCTCTTGGCGTCTATTACGTATAATTACTTAATTAAAATTTGCATGGTGAAAACTAATTGCTTGGAAAATTACTTTGCTAACATAAATTAATATTGTTTACATCCTCGGTTTAGTTTAGATTATATTTATAGCACAGGATGACTTATAAAGTTCAAATATAGGCAAGTCTTTTGATTTTAATCATATAATTAATCATCTTTTTTTTAATAATACATACTATGTGAACCCCGTCAAAATCTATGGTTACTGCTGATATAATTTACCTATCAATCGATGATAAATAACTCCATTTTACAGCATTCAGCAGCGTGCTTTAGGTAGCCTAAGTCCAATCTTAATCAGTAACTCAAATGAAAGCTGGCAATTCACTGAATGCTCTATCGAAACAAATCTATTTATTTTTTAATGAGCAATAAAGTAACTTGAACTTAGCTTATTCAAACGATCAATATCTCAAATTAGCTGTACCCGTGGGCTTTGCCCCGTTTAACTTCACAAGTGAGCCCGTTCGCATGGCTCAATCACGTCCTGGTTGAAGTTTGTTCGCTACGCTCACTCACCTTTAGGTTGGAGCTCGTTCGCTCCGCTCACTTGCCTTCAGGTTAGCTCGTTCGCTACACTAACTCGCTTTCAGGTTGAAGTTCGTTCGCTACGCTCACTCACCTTTTGGTTGCAAATTGGCTGTAGTCATAAATTTAAAAAAAATAATAGTGCTGCACCCTGTTGGTAATCCTTGTAACTTTAATGCTATTGAACATCATAGAACAGAACTAACTTGTTTAATTGAAACAGCTGTTAAGAAATTCCTTTTAAATATGAAAAATCATAAGGTTAACATGGGAAACTCCAGAGCCACTGGGGCGGAGCCCGAAAGCCCGATCAGAATAAAAACTACTTAGTTTTTCTATTTAATGCCCAAAGAATCGGTGTACCGAATTTCAGCCTCCTAGGTAAATGGGAAGTGGGAGCGATGAGTGAGTGAGTGAGTGAGTGAGTGAGGGCTTTGCCTTTTATATATTTAGATGAAAGCCTTATTTCTATGAGCATTTAAAGGCCAAGACATATAAAATTGCCAAGATTAAAATGGAGTTGCGAATCATTGATTGCAGATAAGCCCTAAAATAGTTATAATTATTGTCGATTCGAGATTAAGCAGCGTGTATGTTGAAAGCTGGTATGTCACTGAAGGTTCTGAGACCAAAACATAGGATACTATTATTAAACCTGATGACTTAAGTTACATCTTTAATTGAAGTAAGAATTTGAAAAAATTATATGTTTTTAGGTCGACTAATACAGTACGTAGTTAAATGAATGATGATGCTTCATGGCAAATCTATGCGCGCATATCTTAAATGTTAGACCACAATTATGAAAATCCGTCGGGTAGAAGAGCCAAACTAATTCAGAATAGAAAAACCATATTTAATTCTCATAAGAAATGTAGACCTAAAGAGAGGAAGCTTTTGTGCATAACTCGAAATATACACCAGATAAAAGAATGTGGATGTTTGATAGCAAATCTTGTGCATGCATACCTTAAATTTAAGTGCAAAATTATGAAAATCTATTAGGTAAAGGAGCAGAACCAACTCAGAAAGAAAAATAAATCTATTTTTATAAATGAAACTTAGTTTCATGGCTCTGGAGTTTCCCATGTTAACCTAATGAGTACTCATATTTAAATGTAATTAAAGAGTCTTAACAGCTGGTTCAACTAAACAATTTGATTCTGTGATGTTCAATAGTATTAAAAAGTTAATAGGTTGACCAACAGGGTGCAGCACTATTATTTTTTAAAATTTATAACAACAGCTAATTTGCAACAAAAAGGTGAGTGAGCGTAGCGAACAAACTTCAACCTGGAGGCGAGTTAGCGTAGCAAACGAGCTAACCTGAAGGCAAGTGAGCACAGCAAACGAGCCCCAACCTAAAGGTGAGTAAGTGTAGGCCTAGCGAATGAACTTCAACCATGACGTGATTGAGCCATGCGAATGAGCTCATCTTAAAAATTAACGAGCATTGACATGAAACCACAATAGGACAGGACGACGTCTGTCGGGCCAGCTAGTAAATAATAAAAATAAATAGGCTAAATAAAAAATTGGTTGTTACAAATACTATTTTTAAGTTGTACAAAAATTATTTGGAAACTCAATTGTAAAAATAGGATTAAATTTTTAATTTTCTATTTTAGGCGGAAAGCTGAAAGTCAAACATATAATAGGCCTAAATGGGTTATACAATGGTTATACATACAAGTGTAAAAAATGTGAAATACAGTCACTCTTATAACCATAGTAAATGAGTTAGGTAGTTCTTATGATTGACGATCAAATAATCAATGAAAGTGTATTATTTTCTCACTTTTCGTCATCACACTGGACAAAACAAGTTATCTTATGTTCTGCACATATTGGCTGGTCGCAGTGTGTAGTTGTAATTCTCCGATTGATTGATGGGCAATAAAATCATGTTTTCCTCCCTCCAGGAAGAGGTCATTTTTTAGGATTGATAGGAAGACCTAGGAAATCAGAAATCATGTTCCGAAGATTGCGTTGTAGATATGGGTTACTCAGTCGATTTCGCATAAGAGGAAAGACAAGCTGGTCACAGAGCTCAAGATAGAACTTTCTCCTGTCATTGGTTGGCCATTCCTTGAAAAAGTGTTCAAGCAATATATAAGGTATAGGCCTACGCATTTATATTATGTAATGTTTTGCATGCCGTAAAACATACATAGTGGCCAACAACGAGTTTTTTGGCTGCAGCTGAGGTTTTTGCACATTTGATCCAAAGTATCTACTGCTCCTTTTGTCTTGTTGTAGGAATGGATAATGGTTGGCTTTTTAGTCTCTGGATGTAACTCTGCGCTGGCGTGCATAGTGGAAATCAGAAGAACAATATATATGAGGTTACATTACCTTAATCGCCAAGTGATCCATGTAGTCCAAATCTAGGATTACGTACGTTTCGACGTCAATGCGTCATTGTCAAATCTATAACAACTTTTTTAAACCATAAGGGTCATGTGACGTGGGGCCCATATCCCACGCAAGTCGAGAAGACTGCTGAGACAGCATCCCCGAGCCGTGGTGTCTTGGACGAAGGCAGAGGCAGTGAGCTGCGAGACACGGGGCCGAGAAGGTCTCCGAGTACAGAGAGCGTCGGTACTTCCGCGTCGCGCCGACACGGGAACGGGTAGAGGGTCGGTCGGTACCTTGATGTTTTAGCGCAGGGAATTTTATTAATTGTTTTTGTTAGAGTTTAAGTTAGGGAAGTTCGTTATTAATTTTTTTAAATAAATAGTTCGTTCGTCTGCTGATTTTGTTGTGCTGTTTTCAACACCTCACCACCTCTCACCCAAGCGAGCACCCCCCCCCCCCCCCCCGTCACAAGGGTAGACGTGACAAATTGGTGGAGACAGGCCGGGTATTCCTGAGACGATTGGAGTCAACGACGGAATAAAAGAGACCGGGGATTATTTAAGGTAAGTGCTAATTTGATTATTTGTTCTGTAGGGTCAGGATTAATTCAAGTCATAACAGAGTAGGGAAGTAATTGATAGACGTTTCTTTTCTTTTCAGGGTTTGATTTTGTGTATTTAATGTGAGGTATTAGTTTAGTGTATTTTGAAGATATTTAGGATTAGTTTTGAGTCCCAGTAAAGTTTGGATTTAAAAGTAAAGTAGAGTTTTGCGTAGAAATAAGCGTTTGATTGATGAGTTAATATAGCATTACCCTGTTTAAGTAGAAATAAGTCTCCTTTGGACAGTAAGTGGAAGTCGTCTAGGTACAGGTAGAGGAGGGGCGTTATAAGCCATTCAAATTAATTGTAAAGAAGTTGTGGGTTTTAGTGGGTTGTGGAAAGTATAGATTAATATTTCGTTTTTTTTTTGTTTCTATTTATTGTTGACTTACTGGACTAAAGAGTGGCTTATATCAGGTCAACCTCCTCGGGCGTCCGAAGCCTTACTGTCTTAAGCTAAAGGAGATAGATTAAGTAGATTAAGTTGTAAGAGGGATTATTTAAGATCCGTGTGGTCGCAGAGCGTTGTTGTGCGTATATTAAGTTAACATTTAAGAGTAAACGGCAAGATGATGAGTGGGAGGAAGCTGGTCCCAGCAGGAAGGGGACACAGAGGAGCTGTCATCGCAGCATTGTTGGACCTGCAGAAAAATCCAGGGCGCACAGCAGGAAGAGGAAGAGGGGCCATCATCGGCAAGTTACTGAGGGCGATGCAGGAGACCCCAGAGCGGACCTCCCCGCCCTTACGTGAAGAAAGCTCGGACCCGAGCAATCTCCACATCGAACTCTCCGAGAGGGAGATCAAGATTCAGGAAGGACCACCGAGGCCAGGCGCCGAGGCCCAGACGGCCTACGCAGAAGTTGCTCAAGAGGAAAAGGTGAGGCCGGCTACAAGGGGGACGGCTACCATGTTGGTGGTGTTGGTAGCGCTGGTAGCCGCAGCACTGGCCTACTTTTGGCTCAATTAAATAGTGACAGTGACACTAAGTGTAGTAAAGATAGCTGAAAAGAAAACTTTAAACATAAATTTTTATATCAGGCAGATACATTCTTTTTTTTCCGTTTAAGTGTGTAACTCAGGCCAACGTGCCGGATTAGTGACACGTTATCGCCA